GAGCAGAACAATTGGAAAAGCTGGAACAGCTCAAGAGCTGCGTCATCAGGAGCTGCAACAGCAGGGGCTGCAACAGCAGGAGCACAGCAGTGGCAGCAGAAGCTTCCGCAGCAGCAGCAGCAGGACGGGCTAACCACCGTTACCACCACGATGCTAAATTGCTTGACCAACGCACAGAACAAGGACGAGAAGATGGATGAGATTCTGGCTGTCCTGCGGGCACAGGGACAGATGCTCGCGGCTCTCATGCGGGCACAGGACAACCTGCAGAAGAAAGTCGAGGAGCTCGATCAGAAAGTGGAGGAGCTCAAGCAGAAGGGCAGACAGCAGCACCACTGAGCCCAGCAGCAGGACAAGTGACCTCGCATGGGCGTCTGGTAGCCGATGTCGGAGGCGTGCAACCCGGCTCGCGCGCTGGCTCTTTCGCCGCGCTGACGCGGCGCAGGGGGCTGGAATAGGGCTCCTGAAGTGTTGGAAGGCTCTGGATTTGTTCGCAAATTGGGTATGCTCCTCATGGCCCCCACGGCGCCCACCTGTCGGAGCCCCACCTCGAGCTCGATCCTCGACTACTTCGTTTTGGGAACAGGTGTTGCTATATTGATTTCAGGCGCTGACTTCGTGCGTCCACGGAGTTCTAACATATCATGTTAGAGCTCCCACGGAGCTCTAACATACGATGTTAGAGCTCCATTGGGGCTCTACCGTAATCTAACATGCTATGTATATTAGAGCTCCACTGGAGCTCTAACATGCCATGTTAGAGCTTCCAGGGAGCTCTAATATATTCTAACGTGCTATGTTAGAGAGCTCCCTGGGAGGTCTAACATGCTAGGTTAGAGGTGCCAGGGAGTTCCCTGGGAGCTCTTACATCACATGGTTCAGCTCCCAGGGAGCTATATATAACATGACATTTGAGAGGTCCCACGGAGCTCTAACATACGATGTTAGAACTCCCAAGGAGCTCCAACATACTCTAACTTGCTATGTTAACTCCATTTTAGAGTTGCCTCCCATACTCGGTGGGACCTCTAACATAGCATTTTAGAGCTCCCATCGAGCCGTCCCCCCCGCCGTCGTCGTCGTCGTCGTCGTCGTCGTCCCATTGGGCGCGTCCGCATGCCGTCCCCCCGCCATCGTCGTCGTCGTCGTCGTGATGATGATGGTGATGGAGATGATGTTGATTGTATATATACGATTGGATAGTCGCCATTCGAAATTATCATTATCATCATCAAAAGCATCGTCATCATCACAATCAGAAAAACATGACATCGTCATAATCACAATCAAAAAACCAGCAAACAACAGGAAAGACCATAATCACATCAAAAACACAGCAAACACATCAACCTGAACCAGCCCTAATCCCAGCCAGTCGAGGGGGCCGCTTCCGACGAGGACGCCGGGAGCTCTAACGTGCCATGTTAGAGCTCCCACGGAGCTCTAACATACCATGTTAGAGCTCCCAGTGAGCTCTAACATACTCTGACATGCTATGTTAGAGCTCCGTTGGAGCTCTAACAAGCCATGTTAGAGCTCCCTGGGAGCTCGAACATCGCATGTTGGAGCATGTTAGAACTCCCACGGAGCTCTTGCAAACCATGTTAGAGCACCCAGTGAGCTCTAACATACTCTAACATGCTATGTTAGAGCTCCGTTGGAGCTCGGTATGTTGGAGCTCCAAGGGAGCTCTAACATGGGAGCTCTAACATAGCATGTTTGAGCTCCCTGGGGGCTCTAACATGCTATGTTCGAGCTCCCTGGTCGCTCTGAGCTACCCGCCGCCGCCGCCGCCGTGTTAGAGCTCCCACGGTGCTCTAACATACGATGTTAGAGCTCCCAGGGAGCTCTAACATTCTCTAACATGCCATGTTAGAGCTCCCTGGGAGTGCCAACGTAGCATGTTAGAACTTCCGGGAGCTCTATCATGCCATGTTAGAGCTCCCTGTGAGGTCTAATATGCTAGGTTAGAGGTGCCAGGGAGTTCCCTGGGAGCTCTTACATGACATGTTTCAACTCTCAGGGAGCTATAACATGACATGTTAGAGGTCTTGACGGAGCTCTAACATCAATGTCTAGAGCTCACACGGGCTCTAAACATTCGATGTTAGAGTCACAGGGAGCTTAACATGTATAACATGTAATGTTAGAGCTCCTTGGAGCTCTAACATAGATGTTAGAGCTCCCAGGGAGCTCTAACATACTATAGCATGCCATGTTAGATCTCCCTGGGAGTGCCAGCATAACATGTTAGAGCTCCCTGGAGCTCTATCATGCCATGTTAGAGCTCCCTGGATACAGGTTAGAGGTGCCAGGGAGTTCCCTGGGAGCTCTTACATTACATGTTTCAGCTCCCAGGGAGCTCTAACATGCCATGTTAGAGCTCCCACGGAGCTCTAACAAACCATGTTAGAGCTCCCAACGAGCTCTAACATATTCTAACTTGCTATGTTAGAGCTCCCTTGGAGCTCTAACCCGCCGCCGCCGCCGCCGCCGCCGCCGCCGCCGCCCCTTAACCGTTTCACAATCGATTACGCAACGGTTAAGACCCCCCCCTCTCGCCAGGGGGGGGGGGGGGCTAAACCGGCGTACAATCGATTGCGCAACGTTTAAGGCCCCCCAAGCGGAGGGGGGGGGGCCTTAAACGTTTACAATCGATGCGAACGGTTGAGGCCCCCCCCCTCTCGCAGGGGGGGTCGGGAACCGTTGCGCGTTAGCGATTGTGAAAACGGGTTAAGACCCCCCTCTCGCCAGGGGGGTCTTCGCCGTTGCGCAATCGATTGCGAAACGGTCAGGCGCTCCGCCGCCGCCGCCGCCGCCCCTTAACCGTTCCACAATCGATTGCGCAACGGTTAAGACCCCCCCTGAACAAGTCGGGGTCTTACCCTTCCGCGAATCGATCGCGGAACGGTTGAGACCCCCTATCGCGAGGGGGGGGGTCTTAACCGGGATGCGATCGATCGCGCAACGGCTAAGACCCCCTCCTCTCGCCAGGGGGGGGGGGCCTTAGCCGCTGCGCAATCGATTGTGACGCGGTTGAGGCCCCCCCTGGCGAGAGGGGGGGGTGCCTTAACCGTTTCGCAATCGATCGCGCAACGGTTAGGGCCCCCCCCTGGCGTGACGGCGAAGGCTGACACTGGCGGTTTTGCGGAGCGGCGGCGGCGGCGGGGCGGGGGCGGTTTTTTGCGGCGGTTAACGTTTCACCCCAAAAAATCGATTGCGCAACGGTTTAAGGCCCCCTCCTGGCGAAGGGGTGGGGTTGGGGGGGGGGGGGGGGAGGGCTCCTCTCTTAACCGTTGCGCTTCGTCGATTGTGATGAATCGATGAAGGGGGTACGGCGGCGGCGGCGGCGCGCTTAACCGTTTTCACAATCGATTGCGCAACGGTTGAGGCTCTTTCCTGGCGAGAGGGGTCTTAACCGTTGCACAATCGATTGTGAAACGGCAAGCCGGCGGCGGCGGCGGCGGCGGCGGCGGGAGCGCCTAAACCGTTTCACAATCGATTGCGCAACGGTGAAGACCCCCCTGGCGAGAGGGGGGTCTTAACCGTTGCGCAATCGATTGCAAGACGTTTAAGGGGCGGCGGCGGCGGCGGGTAGGTTAGAGCCCCCAGGGAGCTCTAACATGGTATGTTACAGCTCCAGGGGGCTCTAACATGGCATGTTAGAGCTCCCAGGGAGCTCTAACATGGCATGTTAGAGCTCTCACGGAGCACTAACATAGCATGTTAGAGTATGTTAGAGCTCCCTGGGGGCTCTAACATCGTATGTTACAGCTCCGTGGGAGCTCTGACAAAGCACGTTGGAGCCCCATTGGGAGATCTAGCATGCCATGGTAGAGTTCCACGGGAGCTCTAACATAGCATGTTAGAGCTCCACGGGGGCTCTAACATCCTATGGTAGAGCTCCCAGGGAGATCTATCATAGCTTGTTCGAGCCCCCCGAGGCTCTAAAATACCATGTTAGAGCTCCCTGGGAGCTCTAACATGCCATGTTAGAGCTCCCTGGGAGTTCTACCATGTGAGGGAAATCGATCAACGAAGGGGGATCCCTCAAATCGCCCTGCCCCTCGGGAACCCACAAAATAGCCTCCGGGACCCCTCTTGGTTCCATTTATCAGATCACCCAGCTTTCCTGTAGCGCAGGCACCTCGGCTCAAGGCATTTCTTGCAGCGCCTGCAGGCTGCCATGTCAGAAATGGGGGGCCAGCGCAGGGAGGCCTGGCCCATGTCCAGAAACCGTCATCATGGACCCTGACACTGGACCCATTGATGCGCCATGGCTAGAAGTTCGCGAGTACGTTTCGAAGAAGAGTGGAAAATCTAAGGAGCCCTGGTGGTTTTGTTTACCGTGCGAGAAATGGGCAGCCCCGACGCACCAGATTTCGGCGGACCACATCAAGAATGTAAAGGATAAGCATCCCTGGTGGCGTAATGCTTGTCCACGGGGGTCTGATGAGGAGAAGGCCGCATGGTGCTCTGAGATCATGAACGCAGTGGTGCTCCACTCGAGCTACGCCCCGAAGCGGAAAAACGATGAAGCGGATGATTGGAGGTCGTCGAAGAAGCCCAGAGAGCAATGGCAAAGTGAAGGCCATCAGCATGAAGCTGGAACAGCTGCAGGAGAGAACACTTGGAAAAGCTGGAACAGCCCAAAAGCTGCGTCATCAGGAGCTGCAACAGCAGGAGCTGCAACAGCAGGAGCACAGCAGTGGCAGCAGACGCTTACGCAGCAGCAGCAGCAGGGCGGGCTAACCACCGTTATCACCTCGATGTTCAATTTTTTGACCGGCGCTGCTCCAAACCTTATGGCACAGAACATGGCCGAGGAGATGGATCAGATTCTGGACCCCCTGCGGGCACAGGGACAGGCGCTCCAGGACCTGCAGAAGAAAGCCGAGGAGCTCGATCAGAAAGTGGAGGAGCTCAAGCAGCAGGACAAGCATCAGGACCAGTGAGCTCAGCAGCAGGACAAGTGACCTCGCATGGGCGTCTGGTAGCCGATGTCGGAGGCGCGCAGCCTGGCTCGCGCGCTGGCTCCTTCGCCGCGCCCACGCGGTGCGCCCGTGCAGCGGGCCGACGAATTCGACAGAATTACAGATTTATGAGGTTCTGCATCTAGTAGGACTGAAAATATGAGTGCGTTGAAGATTGGGATCTCCTCTTGACGCCCTGAGGGGCGAGGAATTTCTGGCAATCTCTCTCGAGGCCCTGTGGGGAGACAGAATTTCTGGGATCTCCTCTTGAGGCCCTGAGGGTGGTTAGATGATGTTACAGCTCCTTGGAGCTGTAACATGACATGTTAAAGCTCCAACGGAGCTCTGTCATAGCATGTTGTTAGATCATGTTAGAGTTCCCTGGGAGCTCTAACATAGCATGTTAGATGATGTGAGAGTCCCTGGAGGCTCTAACATCGCATGTTAGAGCTCCAAGGGAGCTCTAACATAGCATGTTAGATTATGTTAGAGCTCCCTGGGAGCTCTAACATCGTATGTTAGAGCTCCGTGGGAGCTCACATGTCATGTTAGAGCTCCCTGGGAGCTCGAACATCGCATGTTAGAGCTCCGTGGGGGCTCGAACATGTAAGGACAGATGCCTATACAGAAACCATACTACCATGATAGGCTGCTCTACCATACGAAACCCAGCCACCATAAGAGACCAAACTACCATGAGAAGCCAAGCTGCCCTAAGAAACCCAGCTACCATAAGAAACCAAACTACCATACGAAACCAAGCTACCATACGAAGAAGGATGACCGAGTGACCTCACGCGGGCCGCTGCCTGCGGCGGTAGCTTCTCACACGGGTAGCGTTGTCGTATACGTCTTCTCACAGCGGCGTGCCGCCGCATTCCCTTGTCGCAGTCCCCATCAGGCTTCTCGCAGCAGCCTCGCGCAAATATGTTGAGGCCTTCCTGTGCTGGCTCATCCTTGGGTCCCCCAGTAGGCTCTTCCAATGCTCAACCTGACCCTGGCCTGACGTATCCACAACCGCTCTGGGGTCTTCCAGTTTCCTAGCCCGCACCATCTGATTGTACGTAGTCTCGCTTGGCTCGAGACGTTGTTGGCGATTTTGCTCTATTCAGGGCCTGCCGCCTTTCTTTCCGATGGCCCCGAAGGTCTTGGACCTCCGTGGCAAGAGCGAAATCGCGGTATACCGCGCTCACGGCCATAAATCGACCCCCCCTGAGGCGTTGACGAAGAGGATATCGGTTGGGGGCGGCGCCAACTTGGTTACCACGGCGGCCATGCTTCAATCGCTGGCCATAGCACTCATTACGGAGCTCAACGAGAAGCGCGTCTTCATATTGTCAGGAGTGGGTACTTTCTCAGTGAAGAGCTCGCCAGCACGGGACGGATACACGATGAAAGTCGGCGGCGCGTGGAGGGCGGTGAAGCTTTCCACCTCCTCCTCCTTCTCCTTCTCCTCATCCTCCTCCCCACCTTCTAGCTCTAATTCAGAAGTTCCTGAATCCCCTCCGCCCCTGATCCCTGACCACGCCCCAGGGAGCAAGGCCGCCCCGCGAGGGCGGGGAGGGCCGCGCCCTTTTCATGTTTCACCGTGGTCGAAGACAGGCCCCCGCCCCCATGTTTCACCGTGGTCGAAGACGGGGCCCCACCCTTATGCCCCCGCCTTTCAGGGGGGAAGCCTGCGTTCTCGAGGTCGAGGACAGGGCAACGGTGCGTACGAGAGTGCGGCCGTGTTCGGACATGTTTCCTTACTTATGTGCGCTTGAAAGGAGGGGGGTGGGGGGCCGATGGGACGACGACGACGACGACGACGATGACGACGACGACGACGGCGGCGACGGCGGGGGGGGCGGCTCGATGGGGGCTCTAGCATGCTATGCTAGAGCTCCCACCGAGCTCTAACTTAGCATGTTAGAGTTCACAACCCGCACATCGAAATCTAACATAACACGTTAGAGCTCCCAAGGAGCTCTTACATAGCATGTTAGGGTTCCATGGGAGCTCTAACATGCCATGATAGAGCTCCAAGGGATCTCTAACAACATCCTATGTTTGAGCTCAAGGCTAACATACCATATTAGAACTCCCTGGGAGCTCTAACATGCCACGTTCGAGCTCCTACGGAGCTCTAACATGCCATGTTAGAGCTCCCAGGGAGCTCTAACATACCCGAACATGCTATGGTAGAGCTCTGTTGGAGCTCTAACATGCTATGTTAGAGCTCCCTGGGAGCTCTAACATAGCATGTTAGAGCATGTTAGAGCTCCCACGGAGCTCTAACCTACCATGTTAGAGCTCCCAGGGAGTTCCCACGGAGCTCCAACATGATATGTTAAAGCTCCGTTGGAGCCCGGTATGTTAGAGCTCCCAGGGAGCTCTAACATGGGAGCTCTAACATAGCATGTTAGAGCTCCCTGGGAGCTCGAACATGCTATGTTAGAGCTCCCTGGGAGCTCTAACCTACCCGCCGCCGCCGCCGCCTCAGAGCTCCCACGGAGCTCTAACATGCGATGTTAGAGCTCCCAGGGAGCCCTACCACAATCCAACATGCCACGATCGAGCTCCAAGGGATCTCTATCATCCTATGTTAGAGCTCAAGGCTAACGTGCCATGCTAGAACTCCCTGGGAGCTCTAACATGCCGTGTTAGAGCTCCCGCGGAGCTCTAACATGCCATGTAAGAGCTCCCAGGGAGCTCTAACATACTCGAACATGCTATGTCAGAGCTCAGTTGGAGCTCTAACGAACCATGTCAGAGCTCCCACGGAGCTCTAACATACCATGTTAGAGCTCCCAGGGGGCTCCCACTGAGCTCTAACATGCTATGTTAAAGCTCCGTTGGAGCTCGGTATTTTCGAGCTCCCTGGGAGCTCTATCATGCTATGTTACAGCTCCCTGGTAGCTCTAACCTACCCGCCGTCGCCGCTGCCGCCTCGGAGCTCCCACAGAGCTTTAACATACGATGTTAGAGCTCCCAGGGAGCTCTAACATAATCGAACATGCGATGTTAAAGCTCCGACTCGAACATGCTATGTTAGAGCTCTGTTGGAGCTCTAACATGCCATGTTCGAGTTCCCTGGGAGCTCTAACATAGCACGTTAGAGCATGTTAGAGCTCCCACGGAGCTCTAACATACCATGTTAGAGCTCCCAGGGAGTTCCCACGGAACTCTAACATGATATGTTAAAGCTCCGCTGGAGCTCGGTATTCTAGAGCTCCCAGGGAGCTCCTAACATGGGAGCTCTAACATAGCATGTTAGAGCTCCCTGGGAGCTCTAACATGCTATGCTAGAGCTTCCTGGGAGCTCTAACCTACCCGCCGCCGCCGCCGCCGCCTCAGAGCTCCCACGGAGCTCTGACATACGATGTTAGAGCTCCCAGGGAGCTCTAACATAATCCAACATGCCATGCTAGAGCTCCAGGGGATCTAACATCCTATGTTAGAGCTCAAGGAACTCCCTGGGAGCTCTAACATGCCATGTTAGAGCTCCCACGGAGCTCTAACATACCATGTTAGAGCTCCCAGGAAGCTCTAACTTACTCGAACATGCTATGTTAAAGCTCCGTTGGAGCTCTAACAAGCCATGTTAGAGCTCCCACGGAGCTCTAACATACCATGTCAGAGCTCCCAGTGAGCTCCCACTGAGCTCTAACATGCTATGTTAAAGCTCCGTTGGAGCTCGGTATTTTAGAGCTCCCAGGGAGCTCTAACATGGGAGCTCTAACCTACCTGCCGCCGCCGCCGCCGCCTCAGAGCTCCCACGGAGCTCTAACATGCGATGTTAGAGCTCCCAGGGAGCTCTAACATAATCTAACATACGATGTTAGAGCTCCATTGGAGCTCTAACATGCGATCGGATTCTCGGGCCCTGGCTGTCGACTCCCGTCGGGAGGGCCGAGTGGTCGAGGGGCCTCCCGACGGAGGGCCCTCGCAGATGAGTCATCGTGCGGCGCCCCCCGACGGTCCGACGGTCTCCCCCGTGGCCGGTGGCCCATGGGCCGTGACCCATCGTCGTCGCCACCGTCCGTCGGCGTCGCTGCCTCAGCCTCAGCCGTCTGCAATGCGAAGGTCCAGTGTTTCGGCTGTGCTCCTCCTCAGCCTGAGCAGGCGACCCCCCCCGCCTCGGACTCAGGCGTCGACGCGGCGTCGACGCTCGCCGCGATGGCCGCGATGGCAGCATCTGGGCCGTCGACGACGATTCACATCCAGCTCCAGCTTCGTGTGACCATCAATGGAGATGGAGTCGTGGTGGGCGGCGGCGGCGACGACCAGCGCGCCCCGGGGGCCGCCGCCGTGTTCCAGCATGCGGTTCATGTGCCAGCTGCTGGTGGTGGTGGCGCTGCGGCCGCAGGCCCTGTGGGCGCCGCTGCAGCTCCGGGTGGCGCAGGGGCCGCACTCCCACTCCCACCCCCAGCATTCCCTGTCGCTGCCGCTGGGCAGCCTCCTCCTGTCGCTGTGCAGCCTGGGCAGCCCGGGCTGCCTCCGCCGGCACCAGCGGGGCAAGCCTTGGAGGTGCCCGAGGGGTCTGAGGCCAACGACTTCGGCTGGCCAGCCACTGCGCCGTGGATCGCGCCGCACTTCCGCCGGATCTTGCCCCTCGCGGCTGGCGCGCTCTGGTACCACAGCAGCCGCGTGATGGAACGCTATCGCAGCGTTAACATCTGCACCGTATGCGGCGGCTTCTCTGAGCGTGTATGCTCCAGGAAGCTCTGCGCGCCCTGTTCAGGGATCCGCAGTGATCACTATGGCAGGCGCAACCTTCTTCACATGCGCGTCGGCCACCACCCCAAAACTAACCGCGATTTTGCGGGCTGCTAGCGTGGTGAGGGCCCGCCACGCGCCGCGCGTTGGAGTAGATGGGGGGAGGGGGGGGGGGAGATGGGGGCGAGGCGATATGATCAGAGATTTTGACGACCGTGACGACGACCGTGAGGACGACGACGACGCGACGACGACCCGACCCGACTCGCCCTTAATCCTTAGGCCTCATCTGCATTCTGTGCCCTGCAGGACGCCGCCCCCGCGGCTGCTTCTTTCGGTCCGTCGGCCCGATGCCACGCGCGCGCTCCATGCGAGGCCGCGCGAGCTGCAGCATGCGTGCCGTCTCATCCCCCGCCCCGCAGCGCGCCCCCCCCCCCCCACTGGCACCGCTGGACGTTTGCGCAAGTGTCGGGCTTATGCCGATCGGATCAACGCCCCATGGCTCCAGGGCCCCCCAGCCCCCCCCCCCCCGACTACATGAATTATCCGACGCTGTCCGCCGCGAGGGCGGGGGGGGAGGGGGGGCGCGCTGTAGCTGTTCTCTGTTCTAGCGGCTAGCGCAGTCAGTCGAAACCTTCGGCCTGGCAGCGAATCTCGAAAGAATAACAGATTTATGGGGTTCTGGATCTACTAGGACTCAAAAAATGAGTGCGTTGAAGATTGGGATCTCCTCTTGACGCCCTGAGGGGCGAGGAATTTCTGGCAATCTCTCTTGAGGCCCTGTGGGGAGATAGAATTTCTGGGATCTCCTCTTGAGGCCCTTAGGGTAGTTAGAATTTCTTGGTGCCGTTGGGGTCTTGCAAAATCTCTGGGCCCACCCATCGAGAGCTGGTAGGCCATCTGGGGAGAACTCGACAGGCTCTTGGCGCCCTCGCTCGCTGAAAATGCATTAATCTTCGCATTGCTTCGAGGGAATGGGCGACTTCCGACATCCGTGAGTTCGTCTAGAATTGGTTGCGGCTATTTTCGCTCTGCTTCCTATCCGCCCTCTGGACGTTCCATCGGCTACAACGGCCCCTCTTCTTCCATCATTGCCCAATTCCATTCCCACCACGGCTCCAGCCCGACCTGCAACAGGCGCGCGAGGTGGAACGGCCAGCCCGCAGCTGAACCAGCCCGCCTGAGCGCGATGAGCGGCTTCGCGGCGCAGCCGTTCAAGGACTTCTGGGCCGACAAGGTTTCCCCCCTCATCGAGACTGACTTCAAACGGCTTCTCAAGACCATTCCGAAGCGCGTCGCCGAGAGGGCCGCGCAGGCGAAGAGGGAGAAGCCAGACAAGTCGCAGGAGGACCAGTCGAAGAAGATCTCGAAGAAGGACAGCAAGGAGAGAACTCCATTGCAGGAGAAGCTCGCCAGGATCATCGAAGAGTGTAACGAGAAGGGCGAGCGCAGGAATGCCTATCTGAACCTGGCGTATACGGCGCCCATCGACAACAGTTTCCTGGAGGAGAATATCACGGTGGGCAAAGTGGAGAACGTGGCTGCGGACATGTTCATGCGGAACGTGCCGACGGACGACGCGGCTGAAACAGCGAACGACTCTCTTGAGGGCGCTGGCGACGTCAGGCGTTGGAACATCCCGAAGCAGGTTGAGAAAGGGTTCGAAATCCCCATCATGATC